AATACTGCTGTAGCAAAAACACAGTAATCGAGCTATGCATGCATGCAATTTTTGCTCTGGTTTATTAGATATATTGGGGGTACTCGTAGCATAGTATGACGGTTGAGATGTCCGGTACGTACGTACGAAAGTAACAGTGATGAGATGCGGAGGGATAGGAACTTTCTACATATATTCCTTGGTTGCGAGAGGTATTTGGTGGAGATTCAGAGAGATTCGTTGAGTGACAAAGAGTGAAGGCGTGCCCAGATACCGTGAAGGTTTGACGAGCACTGGCACGCCCCCGATGAAAACAATACTTTCCAATACTTTTGCATTACGTTTTCAACACGTTTCCTACCCATCCACGCTCCGCCATGAGCCACCCGCTTTGAGCTCCAACCACAAAGAACCGAGCCACCCGAATTATCGATCACGCTAGCGTATGACACGTCGTCTACGAGATTCGCGGTCGAGCTTGGTTTAGGAGCATCGCTTTGCGGCGATCAAGAGCAGGGTCACGATGACCACCAGGCGCGAAGATGAATCCCGCCAAGCAGCGGAGGACGCCAGGATCGAAGAACTGGTCAATCAACGAGAGAGTAGCAGCTCGGATGGAGCAGCTGATGGAGGAGAAACTGGCCAAGACGATGGCCGAGATGGAGGCACGGCATCGAGCCGAGCGGCAGAGATCAGAAGATCTCCGGCGAGGAAATGAGGAACAAGAGGCACCACACCAGCAAGAACCTGGGGGCCAACACCCAACCCTTCCGCAGACGATCTGGCCGACGCGATTGCGACTGCCATGGCCGGTCGCCCCCAGACTTCATCAGGGGATATCGGTGCAGTGCCTCACCCTGCAACTCTCCGTATGACTGAAAGTAGACGAATTGAGCTTTGAGAATTTTCTGCCCGCCAAGCAGCGGAAGCCCGCCAAGTAGCGGAGGATATTGGTTTTTGTTTGTTTTGAGAATTTTCTGCCCGCCAAGCAGCGGAAGCCCGCCAAGTAGCGGAGGATATTGGTTTTTGTTTGTTTTGAGAATTTTCTGCCTGCCAAGCAGCGGAAGCCCGCCAAGTAGCGGAGGATATTGGTTTTTGTTTGTTTTGAGAATTTTCTGCCCGCCAAGCAGCGGAAGCCCGCCAAGTAGCGGAGGATATTGGTTTTTGTTTGTTTTGAGAATTTTCTGCCCGCCAAGCAGCGGAAGCCCGCCAAGTAGCGGAAGATATTGGTTTTTGTTTGTTTTGAGAATTTTCTTGATTGTTTTGGAGAGATGGTAAAGAGGAATTTGGTTTGATGGTTTGTTTTGTTTTGAAGTAAGCAGGACTGCTGACAAGGCATGCCTTCGTGGTACGGTCGACTACGGGTCATTTTGGTTTTTCTCGGAGCATGACGATGCATACGAGTAGGGGGGCTATTAGATATATTGGGGGTACTCGTAGCATAGTATGACGGTTGAGATGTCCGGTACGTACGTACGAAAGTAACAGTGATGAGATGCGGAGGGATAGGAACTTTCTACATATATTCCTTGGTTGCGAGAGGTATTTGGTGGAGATTCAGAGAGATTCGTTGAGTGACAAAGAGTGAAGGCGTGCCCAGATACCGTGAAGGTTTGACGAGCACTGGCACGCCCCCGATGAAAACAATACTTTCCAATACTTTTGCATTACGTTTTCAACACGTTTCCTACCCATCCACGCTCCGCCATGAGCCACCCGCTTTGAGCTCCAACCACAAAGAACCGAGCCACCCGAATTATCGATCATGGTTCACTTTTGCCTCCACAACCCGAGAATCTCACTGCTGTATCTCGATCCAACCAACACACCAGCACTGGCAGATCACATGTTCGCTGCAACATGTGAATCTCGCCGGAACAGAGTCGCAAAAAAACACTGGTTTAACGCAGACGCCATCAACACCTAGTCAATAGTTGTACTAAATAGTCTAGAAGACGACAACATTGCGACGAGCATGGCGCACTATCGTTTCCTCTTACAATATTTCATCAAACCCATAGGCGTGTCACTTCGAAGTAAGCGGAAGGGGCAGGATAGATATTGATACTCGTGCGTTCGTAGTTGTATATACCATGTTAAAAGCACCGATTCCTGAGCCGAAGTCGCTATTCGCTTCAATAGATATATTGTGAGGTTGGTCAGTCAAATTTCTTGGCTGGGGGGCCGCCCGCACACCGTGAAAAAGGGAGCAGCGGAACTTGTTTTTGTCGATGGCACTCTCCGTGGCGCTAGGTTGCATGCCCGGTGCGGCGCTCAAGGGTGACGAAAACGATGATGACTACTATAGACAGACGTCATTTGTTGTGAATACAACAATCGCCACACGATAAACGGAGCAATACCGATCATCGCAAACACCCGCACCCGTCATGAACCGCTACAAAGAACCCTCACCTTTTTGGGCATGATGTTCTCGCTTCTCGCGTGTGTAGACTAGGGGACCTGCTCGGAAAAAAGCCGGTGGAGGAGGGCTGTTGTGCAGTGGTTGTTTTGAATGTCCTCGGTGGGTCGTCAACGCAGGCACGCTCCGAAAATTGATCCGTTTGTTCGTTGATTGGTGCTGGCGGCTGACCAATCAAACGACATTTCATTCTCGCCGTAAACACATCAGTCCCATCATTCGTCTTAGTCGTCAATAGCTGCGAACAGCGACTAAATATTAATGTTGTGTCTGTCTCCTTGAGGTCCGTCGCGGAATTTTGCGAAAAATGGTACAGCAGTATTTGGTGCAGACCCTATTTTGGTCGTGGTGAGCTCAATAATAATAGGCAGGTAACTAACCGCACGCTGTGCCGTGTGCCGTGGATCATGACTGATCACTGATTGATCACTTACGAATGCTGGTGTAGTGGCAAGTCGTGGAGTTGCCGTCCTGCAGCCCTTCGCACTGTGTATTGGCGAGTCCATCGGTAGGTGTGTTTAGATGATTACCACTCGCTCTAACCGGCTGACCAATCGAGAGACGTCAGACAGCGGGTATTGTATTTTCAAGGTCTTGGGAATGGGGCCAAGCAATGCCAAATCATGAATCTCTCAACGTATGTACCTGAACGTGCGTTTGCATACATACATACATACATACATACATACATACATACATACATACATACATACATACACACACACATACATACATACATACATACATACATACATACATACATACATACATACATACAAACATACATACGATAACATGACAACATGATAACATTCTACTGTGCCAGTACAGAAATCGCGGCCGCAGATTGCTTGCAGGGTGCGATTCGGACCACCCTGGCAGGGTGGACCCTGTCCAGGGTGTTCACCATATAGACCTTGCAGCCGGTTCACCTTTCTGCCGTTCACAAGATGGGGTACCCTGGCAGGGTGGTTTTTTGCCACCCTGCCAGCGTGGCCAAATGGCTACGGGTGCGAGTTTTCTTATTATTCTCGCGCCTCGGACGATCGGGTAAAAAAGTGCGTGGTTCGGAGCTTCGGACTGGACGTGATCATCAATTCGTTGACCTCGTTTTGTACCGTTCTGCAAGATGTGGAGAGACAGTCAAGGGCTCGTAGAGGAAAACATGTGTTAATCCGCGCGAACCAGTCAAAATGCAGCGGAAAACACGTCCGGCCGCGGAGAAGGTGGTAACCGTGTACCTCCAATATTTCGTTGACAGGCTAGATAAGTAGACACACAGCTATCCCGCGTCGAAGATGTTGCTCATCGATCAGTCGAGGATTAAACGGGGCTTCAATTTGATGGCAGAGCCAGTCGTACGTGTCGCGCAAATTGATCAAGAGTGGAGCAATTTGGCGCCGGGAGCGCCTGCCGCATGCGCGTGCTTCGTGCTTGAGAATGCACAACCAAACGCTAAGGCAGGAGGCACCAATTACCCTGAAGCGTGATGAGATCGTAAAATAGTGCAGGACGCTCGATGGTGTTTTCGTTCTGTGAGGTCTCTATAGACCGCATCGGTCTTTCAGAGGAACGACAAAACTGTTTTTGCGGTAACCGTGTTGGTGGTCGAGAAGATCATGTTGTGCGGGGTCGAGAACCCTCTCTCTTCGCAAAGGGGATTATCGCCCCACGTTTCGTAAGATTGGCCAAGCATCCTCGTGCCAGTTACACAGCGGGTATGACTGTTTCTGGATGTGGAATCACCAGAAAATATATTGAGTCACTCGCAGCTGTCCTCCGTATGCTAGTAAAAGTATTGTAGACAAAGATTGCAAACACCCTTAGCAGGATGCAGTGCATCCCCCCTCCGACTCGCTGAATACCGTACGGCGCCCCGCGCTTTTCGTGATGTGAAAGACTGCTCCGGTGAGACCCCGGTGTGCTCTGCCCAGGCGTTGTGGGGATGCAAGGTAAATTCTGTACACGCGCGGCTATCCCCCCCGCCCTCATCGTACCTCTTAGACACCAATACAAGTCTCTGCCATCTTCGAGAGCATGGAAACAGCTCGAAGAATCCGTCAAATTTCCACCTCTACCTCGCCCTACTTCGTCTCTACGTACATCGACCCGACCCGTCACGTTCTGGCCGCCCGTACCATCAATCGGTGCCGCTATTTACCTCCAGAATTCATTCCACGTAGATATGGGCGTCAGCACGCGATCAACTCGACAGGGAAATCCAATCACTATTATGTAGCTCCAACTTCCTTACGAGTACAGCCCTATGGGGCCAAGACGCACTGCACCCCCCACACACATAGATTAATTCGTCACAACCAAACTACAGTCTGCACCCGAGGAAAAACGTTGAGACAGATTCCCGCTGAATATTACCGCAATAAAACTTGCGACGGCAAGTTCTCTGACTATGGTATTTTTCCATTTTTACCGGACATACATCTTCCTGCCCGCGCACACCCAGGCAGAACATCCTATCGGCGCTTGAAAGGTGGTACATTCGGTTGGAGTAGCCTCTCGGTCAAATGATGCACGTGCACGCGTTGGATTTGCTCCCGCCCCGTTTTCGCAAGGCGTACTTGCCACAGCTGTGGTTTGTTTACACCTCCTCAGGGAAGGCGTCAGCGCTGTAGATTCCTGAGTATGGCGGAAAGGAGAACAGGAATGACAAGTACAAAGGGCCTTATGCGTGACGTACATGTGCGATGTAGGTTGTGATGTAAGTTCAGCGGGAACGAAAGATTGCTTTGAACTCAATCAACATATCAATGAATATGGACCACGGAGAGTTTCCAAATCCTGCTCAGTCTATGTGGCTTTCGAATGCTGGGGCAAAACCTGCTCTGTAGCCGAAGGGAATTGAGAGGAAGAGGCCGCGCGAGAGAGAGAGAGAGACAGAGTTGTCCAACTCCTGCCTGCCCCCGAGGTCTTTGAACTCTACTGTCGAAGAATCATTAGCGTTTGGGTCGCGCTATTACTACTAACGTCTTTCATCGATCAGCAGCCGGATAGTACAGTCGATGTCGACGAACAATATACTGACACGCAAGAGTGTGGGTGAGGGAGGTAAAAACGGCCAAGAGATATGTAGTGCATATCATTATTCTGCCAGGCTAGGCGCTGGCGTCAGGTGAATTCGGGGAATGCATGTGGTCCCAGTTCTACAACTCACCAGGGATCCAAGTTTCCGTCTTCTCGGCAATCGCCTCGACAATATTGTTTAGCGATCCTATGCCGACGTTCTTGTCTTGGAGCCAATACTTGAACCTGTTGCAATGCTCCACGCAGTCCGGCTTTTGTTTCATGTACAACACATAGCAGGTAGAGACAGAAAAGCGAGAAGATGAACTGCGAATCTCTTGCTGCAGGGTGTGTACGTGAGTACGTGAGTACGGTATGACATTGTTTAGATGTTCGGCAATGTCAGCATTGAGAAGTGAGTGGCACCGACCTCACCCATATTTTGGGCTTCAGCATTTCAGTGTCGGCGTTACTTCAGGACAACTACACTATGTGCGTTCCGATGTTTAGTCTACATGTATGCATTTTTCATTCTCGGGGACACGTTCCAAACCGTGCGTCTCCTCGAAACGAGTTGCCCCAGCTTCAGTGAGTACTACCCTTCCCCGGAAAATCGAATTAGACCTTCAAACCTTCGTGTGGGCGGCATATTTCTCTGGGTTATGAAAGGAGGCTCTCTTCATTCATGTCGATGATGTGTGATGACTGATTTCGTTTTGATGGACTGATCACAAAAAATCATCTTCGATGATCGGTGGCCGCAATCTATACCAACTATGTAGTGTGTGCGTGTTTCGAGGCCGTTCAACGAAGAGAACAATTGTTTTGGATATTTTGACGTACAATATATGATTTCGTCCAAGGTCATTGAATGTAGACTGGACAACCTCTCTCGTGACTCGTGGGTGAAGCTTGTTCTTGTTAACGTTTCCATGATGGTGGCTCGGCTCGATGCACACAACACCCGTAGACACACCTCATCAGGGGATAGCGCCAGAAATTTTCCGAACAGCTGGTACGTTGTTTTGATGGGTTCGTCTCCCTCAGCGAGTACCTGGATATTATAGTAGCCCCTGCGATGCTGGGCACCTTTTTGTGGTCCACACCAACGAAAGCGACCGCATCGAAAATACAATCACAGCGAAGACATTATTTGCACACACGGTATGAACAGTGTTCACGCGTGATTGTTTGATCCAAACCAAGGAAGTATCCGCATCGAATAATGGTGTCGCAGCGAAGATATATTTTGTTTCAAGGTATAAAAAAGTGTCAGGCGTGATGTGTGGCATAAACGAATACACACAGGTAGTAGGAATCGTTTGGAGCAACGTGTTTTCGGACACTCGAGGTAGAAGTGTTCCGAACGAATGTGTACTTTCTACACCGAACGAACGCACACCATTCAGAGCAGAGACACATAAGGGTTGCCAAGCAGGCGCCACAGAGTATCGACTACATTATTCCTGGCTGGGGATTGCGTAATGATTATCCCGAATGCGACTTTTCTTGCCAACATATTAGACAGTGCACATCTGTTGGGTGGCTTGGTGCGCCCGGCGCAGTTGTAGACGGCAAAAATAAAAGAACCGCGCGGCGAGTTTGCCGGCAACGATAAAATACAGTAAACTGCCCGCGGGTGTGGTAACCCGCCGCATCTATGATGTTCCGGAGCGTGATAGCTCTGATGTGTTGACGCTGGTGCTGTGATAGCTGTTGTGATGGCGTGATAGCCTAGAGGCGTGACAGCCTGGCAGCGTGATAGCTGGTGGATAGGTGGTATGGACACGGGCGTGATAGCCCAGGGCGTGATAGCCGGGAAAAAGGAAGATGAATTAAAAAAGGGCACGTGGCCAAAACCGTTGCAGACACGCATACCCAGAAAACAAGAATATGTGGCAAAGATGGTACCACCATTCCCCCAATTTATTACAACTGCGGAACCCCCAAAATTCCCCGCTCCATCTTCTAGGAACGTTCCTCGGTTAAAATAATCTGTCTATGCTCCAACAACATCTATCAAGCAAGTGAACTTGTGCACACGTTTATCCACATGTGGTTGAATCAATCTTGACTCGGGTTCATTGATCGATACGTATGTAGTGACCTTGTTGTTTGAAATTTCGGGATCAAGCGCGTGGTACAGAAATTCCGAGGTTGAGTGCAATCTACTGTACGCCATCACCTGCGCTAGGTCGCCGTTGATCGGAGCACGGATGAATCCGGCAATCGTGTCGTCAGAAGTCGTGCTCATCCTCGGGTGGTACGGGATCCGTTCTCCCTGAACCGTCGACAGGAGCCACAAGGAAAGCCAAGTTGGGCGAATGAATGACTTGAGGGTGGAGAAAGGCAGCCCTTTACACACGAGTATGTGGAGGTGGAGCACCAAATGACGGCCCCCTGCTCTTTGGCGGGACACATTCGGCAGACTGTACCGAATTAAGTACGCCCGCGAATACACTCGAGGTAATATGAGGCCGTCCTTTCGCGGAATGCTTAGAATCGACTGCACTTGTATATGTGGTCCTTTGCGGTTTGATGTGTGTGTGTCAAAAAAAACGCGTTCGCTTCTGTTCTGTCGACTGAAGCGCTCTCGCAGACGATTTGTAATCGAGCTTCCGAACGTTTTCCACTGACAGAGGCTCTGGTAGCATCTGTTTCCCACCGACGGTTAGGGCAGCGCACGCGTGCGAGCTTGCAACTGTTGTACCTTGCTTGGTCCACCAGCTTCGAATGAATGTGTCGTCTCACCAAATGGTCAGGCCATTTTCGTTGAATATTTTTCTTCCAATACAATAACACAACAAATCCATCTCTTCCGCAGATCAGAGTCCGTGGTAGACTGTAGCAATTACTACAGGTAGTTTACAACGGTCTCGCTTACTGCCAACTCGTCGTCCCGTAAGAGGCCATTCAAGAGCCTCGGGCTATGTACTCCTCCTGTTGTGAGAAAAGAGGATGCTGTAAGCAACTACGAGACTCACTCAATAATCAATCACATGTTCGCTGCAACATGTAAATCTCGCCGGAACAGAGTCGCAAAAAAACATTGGTTTAACGCAGATGCCATCAACACCTAGTCAATAGTTGTACTAAATAGTATAGAAGACGACAACATTGCGACGAGCATGGCGCACTATCGTTTCCTCTTGCAATATTTCATCAAACCCATAGACGTGTCACTTCGAAGTAATAAGCGGAAGGGGCAGGATAGATATTGATACTCGTGCGTTCGTAGTCGTATATACCATGTTAAAAGCACCAATTCCTGAGCCGAAGTCGCTATTCGCTTCAATAGATATATTGTGAGGTTGGTCAGTCAAATTTCTTGGCTTGGGGGCCGCCCGCACACCGTGAAAAAGGGAGCAGCGGAACTTGTTTTTGTCGATGGCACTCTCCGTGGCGCTAGGTTGCATGCCCGGTGCGGCACTCAAGGGTGGCGAAAACGATGATGACTACTATAGACAGACGTCATTTATTGTGAATACAACAATCGCCACACGATAAACGGAGCAACACCGATCATCGCAAAGACCCGTACCCGTCATGAATCGCTACAAAGAACTCTCACATTTGTGGGCATGATGTTCTCGCTTCTCGCGTGTGTAGACTATTATAGGGGACCTGCTCGGAAAAAAGCCGGTGGAGGAGGGCTGTTGTGCAGTGGTTGTTTTGAATGTCCTCGGTGGGTCGTCAACGCAGGCATTGATCCGTTTGTTCGTTGATTGGTGCTGGCGGCTGACCAATCAAACTGCATTTCATTCTCGCCGTAACACATCAGTCCCACCATTCGTCTTAATCGTCAATAGCTGCGAACACTGACTAAATATAAATTCTGTGTCTGTCTCCTTGAGGTCCGTCACGGAATTTTGCGAAAAATGGTACAGCAGTATTTGGTGCGCAGACCCTATTTTGGTGGTGGTGAGCTCAATAATAATAGGTAGGTAACTAACCGCACGCTGTGCCGTGTGCCGTGGATCATGACAATTCTTAAACCGCTTTTTATTGCAGTACAATGTTGCAAGAAAAACGGCAAAATTTTCCTGCAGCTTTCCTTCCAAACTTTGTCTATGGAACTTTTGATGCCGGTTTATGCGTGAAAAGGGAACGAGTATGGCCGTCCTGTGCGTGCAAATGCGAGATTGGTGGCTCGCGGTTTCGGTCAATGCACGGTATTGATTTATTGGAGACCTTCTCCCCGTGCCCGTCTGTCACTAGTACCCGCTTGTTAGCAGCTCTTGCGTGTGGGTTGGGTTTGGACTTGTGTCATTTTGACGCGGAGCAGGCGTTTGTTGAATCAGAGTTGCAGGAGTGTGTGAACCTCCGCCTGCCGCAGGGCTGCGGTGTTCTTTCCGTTAAGATTATTCGCCTTCGTCGTAGCCTCTACGGCTTGAAGCAAGCACCCCGCACGTGGCATAAACACTTGGTTATAGGGGCATGGAGTGTCTTGGTTTTGAACGGTGTGCTGCCGACGCTTGCGTCATGCGCTTGATCGAAGAGGGGGTTGTCGCCATGGTCGTTGTCGCTCATTTTCCATCGGCAAGAAGAATCGGTGTGAGCAATTTGGTGGGGACTTGAACGAGTACGTTCCCATCACCAACCTTGGGGAACTTCGCTTGTACGCTGGTATTCGTTTTTCTCGTGATTTTGCTCAGAGCACCATTACTCTTTCTCAACAGACGTATGCCACCAACACGGTCACGAAGTTTGGCGTCACCCGTAAAAAAGAAGCCCCCATGGCCGTTGGCGTGAAGCTTGATTGACGAGTTTAATGCGTGTGAACCCGACGTCGAAGGGCCGCTTCGTTCTCTGGTGGGGCACTTGATGTGGCTTGCGAATCAAACTCGCCTGGATATCCTCAACGCCATCCGGGCTGTTGCGCGGTATTCTTACGCACCCAAGTCCGTACACTGGAAGGCTGCTTTCCATATTGTGATGTACATTAGGTTCACGAGTGAGTGCGCACGGTATTACATTTCAGCGGGGTACGGCAGGTGGTGTTAGCTTGGAGGTGTACGTGGATTCGGACTACGCTAGCAAAGCGGCGGACACGCGGTCTGTGTCGGGAGGTGTTGTCATGTGTGCGGGGTCCTGCGTGTCGTTCTTCTCTCGGACTCAGAAGAGCGTCACGCTATCTAGACTACTACAGAAGCTGAGTACGCTGCAATGGCCGATGGCATGAAGGAGGCGATTTGATTGCGATATTTCCGGAGTTTATTCTTTCCGGATGGGGATGTGGGGTGCACTGTTATCAAGGAGGACAATGTCGGGGCGCTTCATTTGGCCAACAACCCAGCCACCACCCCCAACTCCAAGCACATTGACATCCGCCACCATTTCATTCGGGAGCGTATTGACCGGGGGGAGTTCAAGGTAGTTTTTATTCCGTCGCATTTGCAGCACGCCGACTTTCTTACGAAACCACTACACAAGGAGGCGTTTTCAGTGCACCGCAACTTTGTCATGAACCTTTGAGGCATTCT